CCTGGATTGGATGCTAGTCCATAGCAGGTTTACCCCCAGCATTAAATTTGCCAGTACCCATTTGTATAACTGGGTGGAGAGAGGCACTGTGAGAATAAATGTCTTGCCCAAGAACACAACACAATGCCCCTGGTCAGAGCTCGAACCTGGACCGCTTGATCTGGAGTCAAGCGTGCTAACCATGAGGCCACAGTGTTAGATGTAGGCAATGATTAAGATGTAAAGTAGAACGCAGAGCAAAATGTTCAGTAACATTGGCTTTCTAACAATATTCCACTCACAAGACTCTTAAAGTCATTTTTTGTCAGTTCATTTCCTGTTGCCTTTCTCATTTTGATTATTTATACCACATGTTAAGGTTCATACAGGGTTTGAAATGCTTGAAATAGTATAAAAAAATCTGCTGGCTTTTCAGACTTGGAAGAAGTATTGAAAATAAAGTTAGACTCTGGAGAGAATGGAAAGAAGTTAACAGTTTTTCCAAGTTTTTGTTCAGTGAAATCATTGTCAGCTAGTCGAACTTCATGTAAATTTTGTCTTCATCAAATTGTTGTATCACAGAATCTTGAGAACACTCCGCCTTTCCCCTAATATTGTTATCCTACTTCAACATTTCATCAAGGTCAATTTACTGTCCCAGTATAAGTTGTTCCTGGTGAAAACCAGGATTAAAACTTGACATGTGTCAATCCCGAGAGCTTTTGCCAACTTCATGTAGAACTTCAAGCATAAATAATTTATTTGTAATTGAACGTTTGGTTTCTTTACTTTTGGACTAAATTAATCTTAGTTTGGTTTTGCATCAATAGCACTATTTTTTATTTCTTAATTTAGGGTCAGTGTTTTGTCGCTGTGAATCCTGCAGTGTTTGCCCCAGGATTTGAAGACCGTATGCAGTCATTGATGGACCACTGCAGAAATCTGCAACCGGTAAAAAGCAAATTCTGACTATCTGTTTGTTTTGGAAATTGTGAGATAAATGTAAGATTATTGCAAAATCATATAGTATTGTACATGATACATGTATGATTGATTTCTTACAGGACCTTCCGTGTATCATCTTACCACTTTCTCCCTCTGTAGTTTCTGTCCCATGTGTCTCCTTCTGCATGTACCTGTACCTGCCTGCGTGCCTGTCTGCTTGTGTGCTTTCCTGCCTGTCGTTCTGCTTGGCTGCCTACCTGTCTGTCTGTCTGTCTGTCTGTCTCATTGTCTGTCTGTCTGTCCGTCTGTCTGCCTTTCTGTCCATCTGTTGGCCTGTTTGTTTGTTTGTCTGTCTACCTGCCTGTTTGACCTATTTCTGCCTCTTTGTCTGTTTGTCTGTCTGTCTGCCTGTCTTTTTTGTCTGCCCACCTGTCTTATTTCTATCTGTTTATCTGGGTGTCTACCTGCCTGTCTGTTCATCTGTTTGTGTGTCTGTGTCTGTCCACCTGTTTGCTTCGTGTCTCTATCGTCTGTCCTCTCTCTCTTTCTCTGTATCCTCTTAGCAACATCTCTGCCCCCTCTCTGGTTTCTCTCTTAACCTCCATTGACCCTTCTCACACGATCTTAGTCTCAGCAAGTTACCTCTAGTATGCCTAGATGTCACATGGCACTGAATAATTTTGGTCGGTATTTGTATACTTGTGAACATCTTAGTCAAAGTAAAATTGATGATATTTGTCTTCATTTGAGTTCAAAGGAAAACTTTAAAGATGAACTGGCTTGTTGTTATTTGTCAGGCGGAGGGTGAGACTGCAGTACTTGTGGCCGGAGACCCGGAGAGGGCGCACATGCGTAAAGTGGAGGAAGATGGTGGTATTTTTTATCATGTTAACTTGGTGGAAGCTATGGTAAGCTATGATACAAACTGACGTATTTCAGGCGCCTTCCTCCCTCCCCCTCCCTCTATCCCTCCCCTGCCAATGTTTGGTCTTTACTATACCATCTTGAGTGAACAATGAACATTAAGAAGAGAAGTGGGGGGTGGGGGTGGGGAAGAACGAAATTGGTAACCTCCCCTACAGTACAGCCCCCAAGTCGATTAGCCCTTAGACAGTTAGTCCCAACCAGATGTCGATAAGCCTCCATATTCGCGCTTAAAGAACGAGAAACAGACAGTGTTTTCGACTTCTGGTCAGAGGCTAAACGGTTAAAATCGACTTCGGGGTTAAACGAGCGGTTACCTCCCCAACACTTTAGAATTCGGTTGTAGGTTGTTACTTAACCTCAAGGATAATGCTACTTTCTTTTATCTTTTAGGACAAGTTGGCTGATCGGCTCGGCGTAAAACCCATGCCAACATTCAAGCTCGCCTCTTTTTAGCTTTGAAAAGGACACCCCCAACCCCCAACAAGGTTAAAAAATATATGACGTATCTGACTCAACCTATTTTAGTAGAAACTAAGGGACCGTTCATTTTTTATGAGGGAGGGGGGGCTGGTGGGATTTGNTTAAAGTGTCTCACCTTATATTCTCTGCCTGATAACAGACTGCAATTAGTCTAGAGCGATGTGCAAAAGAGTGTGTCAGAACTGGACTCTATCTACTAGAAGTTCAATAGACTAATAACAATTGTTAATAGTTGAATAATCAACAAATTTACAGACATCGAGATTCTTTATTTCGATATTTAAAATATTTAACTTTTGAATACACTATATAAAGCAGGTTTCCGACCTTTTCATTTAAGGATTTTTTATCCACAACGGATTTGCTTGCAGCTATGTAATACGACACTGCTGGTAAGATTGATCACTTGCAGTGACTTCACACATTGTTAAATGTAATTTAAGTACATCACTTGCAAAAAATTTCGGACGATTTTGATTTCGGGCAAAAAAAGTGCCCGAAAATAAAGCTGTCAGAAATTTTTAAGCGTCCGAAATATTCAGTTACAGTACAGTATAAAACTTTTAAATAGCGCCAAAGCTCTTAGTTTCCTTTATGGAGCGAACTCTAGTCGAAACACGGCTAGAAATACGTCAACGCTTATATTTCTTTTTCGTCGGTGTATCTGTAAAACCTTGAGTGTGCAGTGAAACTATCATTTTCATAGATGTTGTCTCAATCTAATTGGTGTTTTGTTGTCGTAAATAGACTTAGACTATGTTTCAGCAACGTGTCGGAAAATAAAACGTCCGAAATTTTTTGCAAGTAGTGTAGTACCAGACATTACACAGTAGTTTACAGTTCTCATAATTTCTTTTGGCCTGGTGAAAATGGGTTCTTCTCGTTGAGATGCATGGAGCTCAGAGTATGATTCACAAGCCTGTGATGTGCTTCATCAGCTCGTATTGCTAAGATCGCATCACGCATTACTGCTCCTTCCTACAAATGAAATGTTTTTAAAAAAATAAATTCCGGTTTTCGACACGCAGACCTAGAAAACAAAACATGCATGTGTTTATTGCAACTCCCAATCCGGGCTTTTCAGTTACAAAATTCAACTACAATATTATATAAATATGCAGAAAAGCTAATATACACTAGAGGAACAATACATGACGCTAGCTAGAGCTAATATACACTAGAGCTTCATTTAGATATAACAACTTAAATTTTAAAAATGTTTTCCATGCATAGTTTTCCTACTTAGAAGCGCATCCAGTAAACAGCTCCTGAAAATTTACACATTCTCGGCTACTTTCAGGAAGTCATTGGAAAGATTATTCCAAAATTTGCATCCGCCGTAGGGCAATGCACGTTGCCCACTTCGGGGATATTCAGAAGATTACACGATCCTGTGGTCCCACTATTACTAGAACATGGAACAAACAACGAAACCCTGTTCAATTGTCAGTAAGACAAATCGCTGTTAGTTCAGGGTTGTGATTTTCTGAAGTATTAATGAGTTTAAGGAGGTACGTTCGCATTCGTTCAGTCTCACGCGGTATCTATTCTGCTCGCGCCCTCAACAATCTTAGGTTCAGCCAAGAAACTGACTTAAAAGTTAGTTTATCAGTATGTAATGACACTGTCCTTACCTTAAGCCTCCAGTAGTTCACAGCAAGAGTAGGTGCAGGCCTTGTGTTCCACACAGCCAGAGTTCCGTCATCAATGCACTACCAAGAAAATCGCTGTTAGTACACCTTTCCAAACAGTAGACTGCATCCAAACCCACACCGGCTTCCGAGTTGTTCGGAAGCCGGTTAACGCAAAGATTAAAAGTCAACCGAAGTATAAATTTTTCTTTTGTAATAATGTTTTTCACATTTTTTGTTTTGTGCAGTTTGAAATCAAAACAAAACATCGCGCTTCTCCCGTGCCCAACTCCACCCTGTTAGAACTCAATTTAACTTGCTCACGAGTCTCTCGCACTCTTTTTAGAAAAACACAACTGCGACGGTAGGATTCCTGAACCGCAGATCAACGAGCGATTATGAAAATGGTTCGATAATGAAAATAGAAACTACACTATATACTGTGCAACTTCAGTTCGTGAAGGACTATTTTCTCAAAACAAATCTAGACTTTATTTGAAGCATTTGGGCGAAGAAATTTTTGAATTTCGTTGATATCCTCGATTTTCTATGCCCTTTCAAAGTCGCGATTAAGTGTTTCACGACCGCGTTTTAGGGAGTCTGGGGCGGCGGTACCTGATGACGTCTACCCAGG